AAACGACCTCCAGGAGGACTCACCTCACTGGACTCCCGTCCCACTGGACTTCCATCCCACCTGGCACCCACCCCCATGGGCCCACCCCACCGCGCTGGGCACCCTTCCCAACCCACCCCACCGCGCTGGGCACCCTTCCCAACAGGCACCCACTTCCCCAGTGTGCACCCATTTAACCACTGGGCACCTCATCCCCCCATGCACCTACCTTACTGGACACCTGCCCCACCAGCCACCCACCCCCATGGGCACTGACCCCCACGGTGCACCCTTCCCACCAGGCACCACCCCATGGGCACCCACCTCACCAAACACCCTCACCTGCAAGCACACACCACCCCCAGAAAAGCCCCTCGTATCTCTGGGGCAGGTGGCGGAGCGAGACCCCTGCTCCATCTGGGACAAACGCCCCACGGAGCCGCTCGCTCCCCCCGCACCCATCACCTCCCCGTGCAGGGTGACAGACACGTTCTCTCGCTCGTACTTAAAAAGCTAACGCTTTGGAATAAAGTCGGAGGCAAGATCGTTTATTACCGCAAGCAATTTTAATACAAAAATGTGTCTGTTTTTTTAAACAATTCATTGGTAGAGCTTCAGTTTTGCCTCAATTTAAACCAATTGAGAGAATCACACAGCAACATGGTCAGAGCTGAAGAGGAACAATATTTAATAAATACAGGAGCTCCGGAGAGCCCTCTCCCCCCCGCCCCTCTCCTGGTCACTTGGTCAGTTTGATTTTTATTACAAAGAAAAAGTAGCGTACAAAAGCGAGACAGGACTCGTAGCAAGTGTGCTGGTGAGACTCATTTCAAGGACAAGCGACTGTGCGTGTAAGTCCAGATTTCTTCTAGGAGCAGAGGTCACATCAATCTCAGCCTGGTTGGAAGTGGAATGACCAGTTAAATAATAAATAGGAAAAAGAGATGCAGATAAATAGCAATTCAGTAATTAACAGCTCGAGTCAGTCTCGTAGGCCATCAATCCAGAAGAATCCTCTAATTTGTAGGACGGGAAGTGAGAACGCCCTTTTCATCCCACCACCGCGAAAGGATGTATTTCAGTGATCCAAACCTGCAATCTTACTAGTGTGGTCTCTTCCGGACAGCTTCAGCGTGAACCCTCTCCCCCAAACCCATCACTATTGTTTGCTCTTTAAAAATGAAGTTGCCGGGACAGTATTTTAAAGACAGCAGTTGCAATGAACTTAGCTGTAGCGTGTGCAAATTTTATTAATTCAAACTCCACTTTCTTCAGGTAAAATCACATAACTTTAAAAAAAATGGAAACGTAAGCCCCAAGTCCCCTCACCTCATGTTTCTCTGTTTGAGGTATCTGTGATTTACAAAAAGAGAGTTCCTTGAACACTGTAGGATTCATGTCTTTGTTTTTAAATATAATTTACCTTGCTGAGACAGCAAGTTAAGTTTATAAAGATGCATTTAGGAAACAATCCTAAAAGATAAAGCAGGTTCACACCCTGCACCGCGCAGAAATCCTATTTATATTTTAGTTTTTCTTTACACTTTCACATCTTGACCTTTTTTGCTTCCTTTTTTTTTTTCTCTTCTCTCCCACATTTCAGTTTTCCAGGCCCCTCTTTGAATAGGGGTCGCCGAGAGGCAATTTTTATCTACATAAATATTCACATGAAAATAGTAACTTACAAAAAAGGAAAAAAAAACAAATAAGGCAGCTTCATAACACAATTATTCTTTTACACTTTTAACAATATAATTTCTCCCGTTTAGAATAAATATACATCCAATGTACGTAGCAGGGTTAAAAATTGGACACAGGTTGGTTGGTTTTTTTTTTTTTTTTTCCTTTCTTTCTTTCAGGAGGGCACGGGTACAGTATTATCTTTTGGGGCCTGGAGTTTTTGGGGTGGCAGTGGTGGTTTTCTTGGACATGGTCGGGATTTTGGAGGGCTTGGCCATGCCCCGGCGCGAGCCGCCTTGCCCCCCGGCCACGCTGCTTTCCGAAGTGTCCGAGCACGCCGACTGCGTTTCCAGCAGGTCGAAATCGGAGGCGTCGCTTCCCCGCCGGCTGCTCGCTCGGCTTCCCGTGCGGCTCCCGGCGCGGCTGGTGGGACGACTGGCAGTTTTTTTCGGATCTGCAAGGAGAAACCCCCCGAGG